CTCCACTGTGTTTAAAACTTCATAAAACTTCACTAGAATTATTTGGATAATTTCAATCCTGGAGTTGCCAATTTCCAATGAATTAAAGATAAAAGCAGTTGATAACTTGGAAACTACTACTAAATGACATCACAAGGTGAAATAGAGCATTTTGAGAGTTGGGAATTTATCAAAACTAATGCAGGGTTCCTCAAACATGTGAATAAAACAAACCACAACTCAGGATACATTTCTAATGGGTAAGGAGTCAATTTTGTGTAATATATGACCTTTAACTGGAGGACTGGTCTAGGCCTGGTTCAGTTCTGGTCCACAGTCTCTCTCTCTGATCCTGTTCACTCTCTCACAGCAGACTGGACCCTGCAGCTGGAAGCATGGCAGCATGAAGCTCCTCAGACCCTGCAGGTGCTCCCCTGTCTGAACCAGGCTGGACAGAGGCCATGGCGGTGGGCAAGGCTAACTCTCTGCTCTGCAAAGAGAGCATTCTGATTGGCTGTCAGAAGAACGCAGAGCTCGTATTGGTATACGTGCCTCTGAGCGCCTGCAGGGACGACCTTGGGAGAAGGTTCAACGATGCGGTGGTGAAATACTCCTGTGTCTATGCCTGGTGTTTTGCTCAGGGAGAGATCCATTCACCCCGCACCCTGACAAACCTGGACACCTGCAGGGAGCGGTCTGCTTCTGTCAGTACGTGCACCATCACAAATGCAGGTACTGCTGAGGCAGAGATATATTATAAGGCTTAGATAGAACCAAAGTCTGTTGCCATGGCAAATGTGGCAGCTATCTTGTGATTCTGATGGAAAATAATGTAAGAGCAGCACCAGAAGATTAGCAGTGTTTAAATTTACATATAATCACATTTTGCCTTTTCATTTTTATTTTGTGCTTTATGCTGTGTTATTTTTGTTTTATGTTTGTAAAAAATAAAATAAAATAAAATAAAATAAATAAATAAATAAATAAAATACATTTTCAAAAATGACAGTTTATGTCTGTG